TATTGTAATAACTATGTATGGTGCCGGGTATATACTGGAAATAGCAGGGGGAATGCTTTGTAAAGTATATGATTGTCCACCACTGTGCTGGCACCTGAAACTAGTACAAAATAATATTGAATATAAACTGTAATTGAAAAAAATTTTAAAATATATAGGACCATTTGGTTATGAGGGGAAGGGAACTCACAAACATAAAACCAACTTAAGGCTTTCAAAAAATTGTCTCAAATAATCAGATAAATTTTATTTTTCATGCCCAATAATTTTGTGGGAAAAAATAAGCGAAATTTTAAATGAAAACACATGTAAAGAGGATTATCCCCAGGATAGCTGATTGCAATGCCAGAGTCTATTTTTATTGCACCTTTTTAAGTATAAAACTGTGTGTCCTGATGGAATGTTGACAGATTTGTATGTGCTGCCATATAAACAGTGTTAATTCATTATCAAATTATAAAGTACTTAGCAGTGTTGGCCAGTTAACTTGCTGAACTCCCTAAGGATTCCTTATCCTACAGCGTTGCCTTTGGGGGATGCTACTCTGGAATATCCTGCTGCACGAAAGCTTTTCCCTGCTTGTCTGAGCTTGAGGAGTAGAAGGGTCCATCAGTTGGAAAGGAAAGGACTTGGAGTGTAATCTAAATGAAAATGAATTTTAAAGGGGTTTAAGGTTTGTAGACTTTGATGAACTACTTGTTTTCTTTGCTCTTTCTTGCATTTGCTTCACTGTGGCCTGAGGTGAATGGAGTCCTTTGTTTTGGTTCATCCAAACTGCTCTCCTTAATGTGTGTTCTGGACCATTACCAAGAAATGCTGTAGGCTGACGTTGAAGGCCTGGGACCTGAGAAAGAAACGGAGCTTGAAGGTGTCAGACAGCCTGCTACCACTGTGGGGGATTCGGGCGTCTGCGCTTTGCTAAAGTCGTAACACTGGGAACCTTCCCTCCCCATAAAATGGTAGAGAGAGAGAGAGAGAGAGAGAGACAGAGAGAGAGAGAGAGAGAGAGAGAGAGAGAGAGAGAGAGAGAGAGAGAGAGAGAGAGAGAGAGTGTGTGTGTGTGTGTGTGTGTGTGTGTGTGTGTGTGTGTTTAATGGATCTTGTCTTTTGAATATGAAGAAAACCTGAGGAACAAGCCTTCTGTTTGTCATGCCACCAGAGGGCAGAATAGTCACATTTCCTGGGACAAGTGTAATTCATTATGATTGAGTGAGATTATAGTCAGGACACATTTACTAATGTTTATCAGTATAGGAATTTGTAAAAACAATGGAGTTCCTACTTCAGGGTGTATACTAATCAGTGGAAAACCTTATAAAAACTGCAGCTTTGTGGTCCTCTACCCTCAGAGATTCTGATTCGATAGCTTTGAGTGGAGTCCAGGATTCTCTTACAAGTATCTTGGGTTTTATTTTAACAAATACTTTTCTTAACATCTTGGAAATGCATTATTATCTGATTTTTTTCCTCTTAGGATTCCAAAGCAAAATTATTATTTTGGAGGAAAAACTTAATAGAAAGCAAAGTATAGGGAAACTAGAATGTTGTTAATATAAAGATCTTTGTTTAACAAGTTTTTTAAAAATTTTTCTGTGTCTCTTTTTGAAAAAACTATTTTATTTTTGTTCGAGTAGGTTTAACAAGTTTCAAGGGAGACTGGTTTTGTAAAGATTCAGAATCAAAGGAGCTACTAAAACTTGTTTTTGTGTGGAGTTATACTTCAATCAATAAAGATCATAGAATCCTTAGACTACAAGTCTGAGAAATTTTAATTAAATCTCTTTTATGGCCTTGTCACAGTGCAACCTAAGGATAAAATTAACCTTTGGATGTCCTAAAGATCTCACATAAAATGTCCTGGCATTGTGAACTGTAATTACAGAGACCTTCAGAGTTTGTGGAATCCAGTCATCACCTTGAACAAGTATAGAGACTTTCCTTTATATGTAAAGATCCAACTATAGTAATGTACATTGTCCTTGTAGCGAGGGTGATGATTTTATTTTCACCAGCACCTCCAGAGAGTAGTGCATCCTTGAGGGGAAAGTTTTGCCATTGCTTATAAGTGGAAAGAAGAAAGAAGAATGTGGTAAAATTATTCAAATTTGTGATAGGATGCCGCAGCTCAAAAAGTTAAAGAGAAAGGGAGATGAGTGGAATGAAACTTGGCTGAAGCTGGGGCTTTGACCAGTGAAAAGAAGACACTATTTTTTTCAGATGTATATAAAAGCAATCTATCTTCATGACCCTCTCCTGGCCTTCTTTTCTCTAAGAATGCAACCCTCCACCCTCACATGTCTCATTACCAGGATTTTTTAGTGTCACTTCCTCTCTCCTTCCTAGTTTTCAGGGTTCTTCTGTGATTATATGTGGGTGAAAAAGTAAGCTCTGTAACCACACACACAGCAGATGTAAACAAATTATTTTTGAAATTAAAGGATATAAATCTAGAATGTCATTTTAGGGATGATTTTGTAGAAATAGGAATGATATCTCTTAGAAATGATGCTCTCTTTACAACAGGCTTTAATTAGTAGCACTTTGAATAATCTGTATATGTTATTAATCTGACAGTGCTCCTAAATTTTGATGCTGATATGAATTATTATACTGAAATAATCCTCCCAATAGAGGAACCTCAAAAAAGAGGTTGATTCCTTGAAAGCTCAGTAAATTCAGTGTTAAATCACTTGGGAAGCCTGTTTATAGTTAATATCTGGAACAGATGGTAAAATGAGAATCTGTGCATTATAATGGACTTGTGGTATGAACTTTATTGTAGAGAATTGCCCTGGCTCACATAGTATAAAAAAGTTGAATCTTATATAATGGAAGGAGTGATAAATAGCCCAGAGCTCCTCAAACTCTCTTAATTACCGGTGCATCAAGAATGAATCTTCCCCTCAGCACGTGGGGCCAGGAGGAACCTGGGGGTGACAGGGGTCCTTGGCTGATCGTCTCTGCCTCTTCATCCGCTTGCCCCCAGGGCCACGGAAACACTTTTTCTGTTTGTGCCATTATGTGACAAAGGTTGAGAAGCCCTGGAAAGACCTTGTCCTTTAATTCTTTCTAGTTTTTGTTAATAATTTTATGGTCAGTTGATCAGTACCCTTCAAAATCAGCACCCTCTCTTGACTATTATTTAGAAAAACATCTTGTACAGTGGCATTATCAGTGTCTACTTTGTAATATGTAAAATGAAATATGCAGTTCTAACATTCTAGCCCAAGGCGACTTAAAAATAAAAATAGTTTTGAAAAACATTTAGGCTGTCATGTATTTTGTAATACAGTTGGGTCACTGCCGATTCCCAAGATAAATGTGTTTAAACAGAAGCTTTCTCATTCATCACCAGCCTAAACTTCATCCACATTTATCCAATGATGATGCAAGCCCACAGCATTGGTGTTATAGTTCATCACCATGGAAGTGTTTCTGTCAACAAATCCTCACTTTGCTATCATGAAACTGATTTTACAGGGAAAAGGAGGATAACTGTGAAAGATTTCTTTTACTTCTAAAGATCCTTACAGTTTGCCTAGGTGTTTAAATGAATTGTGTTTAAAAGCAATAACATTAAGCATACTAAATTAACAGGAGGTTGGAAAAGGGAAAATGGCAATGAGCTACTTTGTCTGAAACCATCTCTTTGGAGTTTGACTTGGGGACTAGATTTATAATTGAAAATGTTCCTTTGGAAGTTGTTCTCTGCTACAGAAGTATGGATTATGCTCAGAGTCCCATGAGCTGGGTGTCAGATTTTTTTAGGCTGCCTTGGATGAGATTTTATCACCTACCTTATAAGTGACATAGTGGCATAACAATAGTCAGAAGAAACATCCTTAACATACTTGAAGATCTTTTAAAAACATTCCTTTTCTATAACTTGTGTTTGTAACTTTCTTTGGTTTTTATTTGCTTGAGGTTAAAAAAAAGTCATGATTAAGTTGAAAGATTCTGAAGGCAGCCCACTTACAAGCAAGGTGGAGAGCACCTACCTTAAGTAATCCAAATGATTTGGGGGCTCCAATAGGAAAAAGGAACAAAAATGACATTTTTGCTTTGAAGTAGAATGTTCGCAAGAGCACATGTAATAGTGGCTGATTCTTGCTCTGAATGTATGCATATATATTTTATGGGGATTTTTGTTTGTGGTAGAAATACAGTCAACTCTTGATTTTCAAGGTAACTTGTATTTCCAAAGTAACTTGTATTTCCAAATGTGCTTTTTCTGGCTTCCTAGCACATTTCAAAGCTTTTTACTTTCACCATCCGTGCATGTGCTCACAAAAGCAAATCATTTAATATTCTTTTATTCAGCTGTTATCAGCACATTAAGTTCCTGACACATGCAAAGCACTGTGCTGAGCCCCGAAGACACCGAGACACATCTCGATCATGAAGTTAAGTTTGCTCCTGAGAGATCTTATAGTTCACATTGAAATCAAAGAGACATAAATTTTTATTTATTTAAACTTTTCTCTTCCTCTGATATATAATCAAAAGTTGACTGTAAATGGGAAGTAGGTTCTGTTTGTTCTTTTTTTTTAAGGAAGAATTAACAGACATGAACAGGAAATAAAATTCTACTGTACATGCAAAAATATAACACAAAGTGACCAAAGAAAATTCAGCAAGCAATGGTAAAAACAACAAATTATTTACTGCTTTATAATGTTAAAGTATTTCACCAAAACAAGTTGCAATCAAATTAATGTGAGTTATGGAAAATGAAACACATAAAGATGTATTTATACAAGTGAAGACTACATGTTTTTTATACAGGCATGTAAATGAAAAGATATACAGTAAGTGCACACTTCGTATGACTATGCAGGCAACAGTTAGTTCAGGTACTCTTGAACAGTTCATGCACAGACCTTCCCAAAGTACAAGTTGAGTCAGTCTCGGGGGATGTGGAGGGATAACTAAAGAGGACTGAGTTCTTTGCAATAATATCAGTATACATTGGACGAGGGTCAGTTATATATATTACTTACTGTAATTTGTGATTGTCGAGGAAGAGGTGTGGCTGTTGGTGTGATAGTAATACTGCTGGTGACTTTATTGGTTGTTTTGTTTAGTGCTCCGTTAGGTAAGCATTGAGTTCGGTTATCCTGCGGTGGTGTTGAAGGGCTGGCAGGTCTCATGGGGCTGGCTACAGCTTGCATGTAAGGACTTCCTAAGTGAATGTGGATTTTATTATCCTCAGTAGTTATCACACTTGAACTATTACTGTTTGAACGTTGAAACTGCCATGATGACTGCCCATCTGGGGAGACTCTGAAAATTGCATGCTTGGCACTGATTTCTATTGGCTCTGGGGAGCGTCCCTGCTCAGGAGAGCCAGCTGAACCAGTCACAGCCAAAACCTGAATAGGCGACATTGTCCTTTCTGGAGTTATAGAACCACTAGACTCTGGGGTCTGTGCTCTGGCAAAGGCTGCCACGGTAACTGGGGACATGCCTTGCTCTAAATTCATGAGGCCTTCAGCAGAGGTTTTGGGTTTCACCGGTGTTATGGAGGCGTTTTGGAGGATGGTTATCCTTTGCTTTGGGGTGCCACAGTTTGGTATCACAGCAGTGCTTGTGTAAGAGTGAGGACTCTCTGTGGTTGGACTTGTGATTTCAAGAGTGGCTGTGTTTTGAACATGGTCTGGAGTAACTTTTATATGAAGCGGCTGCCCAGGTGTGTGGCTTAGGACTAGATCTCCAGGTTGCATGAAGTTGCCATTGGGTTTAGTTTGTATTTTTCCATTCTGAGGATGGCCCTCCTTGGACTTCATCCAAGGAATCCACAGCTTCCTGTTAACAGGACAGGGAATAGATGAATTGCATTTGAAGGACAGCACAGATTCCTCCTCATTAGGATCCTCATCCTGGTCCTCACTCTCATAAAACTGACCATTGACGACTGCTCGTTCCAGAGGAATGAGACTCTTATAATCGGGTGGTTCATTGTCTACTGCTTCTGTCTGCACTTCTTTGGAAAATACTTGAGGGTCAGAGATTTTTCTTCCATTGAGACTAGGTCGTAGGCTCTTACTGAAATGCCGGTACCTCTCTAACTCTTTAGTGAGGTTTTCGATCTCTCTTCCTAAATCTCTGTTCCTGTTTTCTTGTTGATTGAGTTTCTTTTGCAGAACTGAATGGTCTCCCTGGAGGTGACATATCAGGTCCTCAGTTGCCATGTATTCATGAATTTTCTCTTTCAGTGCTTCTACTTCTCTTGAGAGATGCCCTGATTTAGTTTCTTCTTCTTGTAGCCTTTTGAAAAGCCATTGTTCATGGCTGGACTCTGTCTTTTCTGCTAACTGGTACTTGGCAAGTTCCATTTTAACATGCTCCAGCTCTTCAGATAAAATTTGAGCTTTGTCTCGTTCATTAGCGTACCTTCGTTCTAGGGTCTCATACTCATCTTCTGTTTTCATGAGGTCGTCCTCAATGGCTTTCATATCCTTTAACCTCAGTCTCAATCTTTCTACTTCTTGAGAAAGCTCTTTAATCTTATTGTTTTCTTGGTGTAATGCTGTTGTGGACTTACTAGAATCCTGATTTAGTTTGTTTTTAAGGAAATCTTTCTCCATTGCTTCCAAAGATTGAAGCTTGTTTTTCAACATATTAACTTTGGACAGGAGATCATTTCCTTTCTCTTCTTCTGCTTTCAGTTTGTTTTTTAGATCATCTCTCTCCTTGGTTACACTGTACATTTTTTCTTCCACCTCCGTCTTTGACTTCAGTGCCCTTTTAGTTTCCTCAATTAACTTCTCAGTAACTGTTGTCACTTTATTTTGTTCCACTTGAAGCTGAGAAGAAGCAGCTTGTAAGTTATCTTCAGTTTGCTTTAATTTTTCACTCATTGTTTTCCTTTCATCTACCAGCATCACAGTTAATGTTTTCAGTTTAGTTAAATCTTCTTTTAGGGTGAATTCTGTCTTTTCCAGCCGACTTTCAATGGCTTCTAGCTCTTTGATCCTTATTTTTAAACTCTCCAGTTCTTGAGACAACTGCTTTGTGGTCATCCTTTCTTTTTCTAAGTTGCATTTTAGAGAGTAACATTCTTGTTTGCTTTTGTTGAAAGCATCTTCTAATTTTTCCAGAGCCATAATCCTTTTATTGAGTTTTTCAACCTCGAGTTTAAAGTCTTTACTCTGTGATGTTTCCTTTTCGAGCCTCTTATTGAGATCCCTGCACTGCTCCTCCATTTTTATGAGCTCTTCATCCTTCCCTTCCATTTCTAGCACACGTTTCCTGAGCTCTTCCACCTCGGCCATGATACTCGAGTTTCCGTATTCTCCCTTGTTTATTTTTTCTTTTATATCTTGGAGCTCCTCTTCTGCTTTCCGTAAGGATCTGTTTGTCTCTTCTAACTCATCAATTTGCCGGCTGAGTGCTGCCAGCTTTTGTCGAAGCTGGCGATTTTGGCTGTCCTCATTGGTGAGCTTCGCCATAATTATTTCTTGGTTCTGGTGAAACTTTGTGGTCTGCGTTTGCAGTTCTTCCTCTAGTCTGGTTGCCTTCTGCTCTTCTTCCTGAACCCTGGCTTCAGCAAGGGCTAGTTTAGCATGCGTTTCCTTTGTGCTTGTGGTTAGGTCTCGGATTTTTTGTCTTTGAAGGGCAAGCTGTGCTGTTAGCCTTTGTTGTTCGTCTACCACCATCAAAGCAAAAGACTTCAGTTTGGTCAACTCCTCTTTCAGGGCGGCGACCCTTTTTTCCTTTTCTTGTTCCTTCTTCTCCTGGAATTCAGTTTCTTGGTCAATTAGCTTCTTTAATCTGAAAAATACAAAAGTGCATTCTATTTTGTAATTGGTGCTTTAGTAACTTATCAGCTATGATTGAATTCTTATGTAATTTTAATTTATAGAAAGATTGTATCATTCTTACAGAATACAGAAACTCTTGAATTTGATGGGAGAGGAGAATCTTGATAAACAGTTATCTTGCTTTTCTGCTTTTACTACCATCAATCCCCCTGCCCCTCACTGATGGGTAACAGTTGCAGTTCACCAGGAACCTTAGTAGAAAAGTAATGGCAAGAATATTTGGGTTAAATTGCTTGTGTAGTTTATAATCCCTAAACTAGCAGTTTAGCCTGAAGGCTGTAAACACAGGTACAAGTTTGAGACTCAGTTGGACCTGGCTTCAGGACTGACCCTGCTCTTACCAGCTAACTAATCTGGGCAGTCATTTAATATCTCTGAGCTTCAATTTCCTCATGAAAAATGAAGGCAATAATTATACTATACTATCATTTGTGAAAATTAAATGAGATAATACATCTAAGATGGTCACAGTGCTGGCACATAGTAAGCATATGGTGTTAGTTTTAATGATTCTTTTTTATTGATGTGGCTATTACCATATTTATCAAATGGTTTGCTTGAACCATTACAATATATGTACATTAATGTTTGGTGCTCAACTTCCTGATTCATAGTTAAGGTAATATTTTGTTCACATTGCTTAGAAGTTGTGTAGTTCATTGATGGACTTCTCTGACGAGTCAAGCTTGGTTTACACTAGCATGACAGTGTTCCAGGAATCACTTCCCGTGTATCTTTATCTCCATAGTGGATGGTAGATGAATGAGGGGAATTGAGAGGCATCTGAAGGGGTTTACAGTTTTTGTAATATGTGAAAAGAGCACAGGGTTTGATAGGAAAGCTTGCTTGTTTATTTATTTACTTATTTTAATCCTCACTTGAGGACATATTTATTGATTTGGGACAGAGACAAACATCGATCTGTGGCCTCCTGTAGCACCCTGACTAGGGACTGAACCTGCAACCTTTTGGTGTATGGGATGATGCTCCAACCCACTGAGCCACCTGGCCAGGGCGGGAAAGAGCTTACTGATGAGAGTCAGATGCTAGAAAAGAGGGAGGAGAATTTTTATATTAGCAACATAATGATACCCTCTTAAAATGATTCTATTGTAGCTTTTTTTTACATTTTAAATTTGTCAGCATTACAGGAGGGCACTCTACATGAAATGTAAACTGTCTCTCTTCCTTACACTTTTTTCCTCAGTAGTAAGCTCTCAGTTTTAAATTTGTGGTATTCTTAATTATGCTGGGAATGGGCTGATTATAGAGAGTGTAATTACAGCTTTGAAGTATTGTTATACAGAAGCTAAAATAGAATGGAATCCCTGAAGAACTGAACTGAAACACTTGTCATGGATGAAAGTTATAAATATTTGTTTTCTGGTCAAGCATGAAAAGTTCATAATATTTTAATATATCTTTTTTCTTAGGAATGAGTTAATCATCCAATGCATTAGATAATTATTGGATAATTGTCCTTGCCATTGCCAGAGGACTTTCTTTTTTAAAGTTGTTCAAGGATCAGAGAGGACATTTTAAAAGGGAACTAATATGGGTCAGGCTTTTTGGAAATAAGAGAGTATTTTTGAGATCCTAATCTGCTCTTCTGTAATTACACAAGAGGAACATGTTTAAAATAACTGTATAATGTAAGAATTCCAAACTTTTTTGTGGGAAGCATCCACTTTTAGTTTTCCCTGTTTTGAGAACCTGGCAGGAGGCCGGGCCAAGGGCTGTGGCCTCTGAAATTTTGAAGAAGCTGGGCTGGATGTTTGGGTGGGGTTAATGATGGTCTCATCCACAGTCTTGGCCAAAGGCTTGCCCATGGCTTTCAGCCCCGTCCCACTGCCTACTTGAGACACCTGGGAGCCTGGGAATAGAAATATGGCAGCTCCTTCCTGCATGGTCACGGAACTTCTCAGACTGGTGACAGAGTCCGTGGGTGAACCACTTTAGTGGTGAGATAGTTATAGAGACTTCAGCAAAGTGCTGCTTTTCTCCAGCTTTTGCATTAGAATTGTATTAAACAATGTGCTGAGCATAACTGCAGCAAAGTATTATCCCCTCTTCTACATCACTGTTCTTAGAGTTCTATTAGAGTGCAGCTTCCCAAAAGCTTTTCAAGATTTCTTTCCAATTTATTAAAATAAAACCATATGTTATTTCATTTTCATGAGAAGGAGGGGTGTTTTCTTAGGATATAAAGGCGGGGGAGATTGTTTCGCAGTGTAATGAAAAGACCACTAAAATTTAATGGTGATTAGTGAATCTTGGCAGTGCCATGACAGACAAGAAGGATTTTGAAAAAAGTTTAAAATGTTCCCATTGTGTTCAGTGTTTTCAGCAACAAGCATGATGCATGTTTCTCAGCATGGTGCAACCTCACATAGCTCTGTGGTTTCTGGAAATTGGTGGGCGTCCCCACCTGTTCCCAAGCCCTGTCTTACAAGGTGGGCACATAAAAATGTCAGTTTGAATACATCTGCTCTCAGCATCTCCTTACTACTTTCTTCCTAACAACCCACTATTTCCCTGGGCCAGTCTCATGAGCACAGCATATGACAGTCAACAAGCAAGTCAGGTAAAGCCTGTGTGGATGGAAACAGGAGTTTACGTGCAGAAAGAGTTACACCCCCAGCCATCATTTAGGACAGACAACCAGTAATGTAACCCTTATGGAGCCAGTTGGGTGCTTGTAAAGCTATTACACTGTGGCACTGTGTACACATACGAGAAAAAGACAGATAGACGAAGAGAGAGACAACAAACTAGTTACGCTACTGTATTGGAATTAGCACTTCTTCTGGTATGGTGAATGGGCTTACCCTAAATCATTCTCTCTTGCTTTATATCCAAAAGCATTTAAACCTTGAAGTTTCAGGTTAGTTTACTGTCTGTGGAAAAGTGTTTCTTTGCAAAGTTAGCTGATCTTTATAGAATTTGAAGCTGCAAGCCCAGCCTACTGTGTGCAGTGCCCTAATGTAGATATATGTATCTGCATGCATATATGTCTCCCTTTGTGCGTGTACATACAAATATACACACATATTTGACTAGATGTATTTCTTTCAACTACATATGTATATATGAATGCTTTCAGCAAATATTTGCTGAGTGCTAACTATATTTTAGTAATTGAGGTCCACAATCATTGTCCAAAACTTTTTAAGTCATGTGTTTTCAAAAACCCTAAAGTTTGCAAATTTTATTTTTTAATGAATTTATTGGAATGATATTGGTTAATAAAATTATTTAGGTTTCAGGGGTACAATTCTATAATGCATCATGTATATATTGTATTGTGTGTTCACCAGCCCAATTCAAGTTTCCTTCCATCATCATTTATCCCCCACTTTACCCTCTCCTACCTCCCCCCAGTTTTCAAATTTTAGAAAGGCTGGAAGGAGCACCCACCATATATTATGTAATAGCTCCAGCAATGCCTGTGGCACCACCTTCTCAGCAAACCTCTAAATATTTCTGCAGTGAACCATGTGAATGGTTACATTAAGTGGGATAATTAAGATAATAAATAGCCTCAAATCTATTCAGGTTTTGCTGCTAAATGAGTTCAGGTAAGAAGCTTTGCTACCACAACTTAGCAAAAACCTTGGTGTAGTCTTTAGATTTTTGAAGTTGCAGACAAGGGATTGTACACAATGAAGGTATAGACCGTTGAAGTCTTTGGGGTAAGGAGGTTGTGTAGGTGAGGGTCTAAGTCCACCCTTCTTCAGGAGGATTGGGTTTTAAACCAAACAGTAACTTACTTTTCTGTCTCCATTATTTTTCTTTGCTTAACAGGTTTTAGGCATTGACACTGACTGACTTTATACACTTATACAGGTTATCATTGACTCTGGGTTTGCTAGGAAAAGCAAGTAAGTGGTTTTGAGAGCTTTTAACCAGGGTACCCATAATCTTGAAAGCAGTGTAGATCTTGAGATGCAGAATGTCCACATATGAAATTCATTCCCACAGAGCTGTGTAGTCAAATTATTGTTCCTTTTTCCATGAATAGTTTCCCCTATTGACATTTTGGGCCAAATGATTCTTTGTTGTGGGGAATGCCCTGTGCGTTGTAAGATGTTTAAGCAGCATCCCTAGCCTCTACTCACTAGATGCCATTAGCAACCCAGTTGTGACAACCAAAAACGTCTCCAAACATTGTCCATTGTCTTCTAAGAGGTAGGAGAGGGAAAGAGGGCAGCTCTCCCCAGCTGAGAACCACTGATCTATGCATGTGTGTTTCTGTTTATATGTCAGTCTATCATTAGAAATTAGACTCTCCGTAGTCCTGCCTTACTCTGCTTTAATTAAACAGATGCAACAGAAAGTTCCCACCTGAGTTACATACACACCCGGTGTTTTCTGTGTGAAGGGCCTGTTCTTTACCAGTGCTTATCACAGTTTTAGGTGCATTTAAATCACTTGGGAATCTTGTTAAATCTCAGATTCCAATTCAGTAGGTGGGGATGAGCCTCACATCTCACAGTATAACAAGCTGCCAGGTGCTGGTGCTACGACTGACTGTGGATAGCAGGGCTTTACTGAGTATATGTCAGAAATGCTGTTCTGACTGAATATTAACACAGCCAGTCCTTCCTTATTGATTATACCACAATCTGTGGACACAGCCTACATTCCTAACCTACATGGCCATTCATTTTTTCACAGGGAACATCATGACTGAATTAGCTAACATCTGTCCACATTACTGGAAAAATGAATGAATATGCATATTATAGGTGATTGGTCAGTAGCTAAATTTTCACCTAAAAGGGGGAGTAAATAATTTCAGTTCAAACTTGTGATTTTCCTCACACAGCCCAAAGACTAAAATTTGGAGACTGTATAACTACCATTCTTTATTTAGTGTCAGCGATGTGTTGCCAAGCTGAGCTAAATGCATACATCTACTGGTTCTAATTATCATGGTAAATTTTTAGGGTTTGGGATTATTATCTCTATTTTTCAGCTATGAAAATCAGGGGTCAGAAAGGTCAGGAAGGGCAAAGACTGTTTCTGCATATCACATTGCCTCTCCAACAAAGAACAAAAACTATGGCAGGGACCTGGTCCACATACAAAGTGTCTTTCTCCAGGAACACTCTCTGTATTAGAAAAACTGTCCACTTGAAGAAAAAGTC